ATCTAAAATCAATGGGTTAAGTCTCCTTTGTGGTTGCCTAATGGGCTTAGCATTGTCCTCAAGAAAAATTTTATGTGTGCACACAATAGGGTCAATACCAGGAATGTCAGCCAAAGTCCAACCAATAGCATGTATGTTCTTTCTCAACACATCAAGTAATGCATTTTCTTCCTCAAGAGATAAAGAGTTAGAAATTATTACCGGAAGCTTCTCATTCTCAATGAGATATGCATACTTGAGATTGGATGGTAAAGGCTTCAACTCCAAGGTAGGTGGCTCTACACAAGAGGGAATGAGCTTCTTCAAGTCTAATTTGGTGGAATATTCCATGGTACTATCTTGTCTTTTAGGCTTCTCACTTGTTTTTGATTTCTCCTCTTCTTTCTTTACAGCCTCCCCCTTTTCTTGCAACTTGTCCTCAAGTGCTTGGACTTGAGCCACGGCCTCGACATGTGAAAGTGTAGAATTTTCCTCCAATAGCTTGGGAATCCTAAGAACATCAAGCTCGAGTGGAGAAAAACTCATAGATTCGGCCTTAATGGCTTTAGTACCTACAACACAAGAAGATATACCCTTCTCAAGCATTTCAAGATCAAGCATAGGAGATATTTTAAACAAATCATGAGAAGAAGTAGTTGCATCATTCAAGCATGCATCAATCTCTAAACAAATAGGACAACTACATCCATCAATACATGTAGTAGTAACAAGAGACAAATCATCATCAACATGTGAGAAAGAATCAAGCATGTGAGACTCACAAGCATCATGAAGCAATAACTCAATGGAACTTACACCTAACAAAGAATAATCCTCAAAAGGATGTTTCATTGCTTCATATATATTAAAAATAACATGATCCTCTCCACATTTCAAAATCAAACTACCTTTTTCCATGTCAATCAATGTACGGGCAGTCCTCATAAATGGCCTTCCTAAAATCAAAATATCATCCCCACTCCCTTCTTTTGACATATCAAGCACATAGAAATCCACAGGAAATAATAGACCTTTAACACAAACCAACAAGTCTTCTACTACTCCATGTGGTCTTCTAACACTTCTATCCGCTAATTGGCATATCATAGGTGTCTTATGCATGCAATCAAGACTCAAGGCATGATAAATTGAAAGAGGCATAACATTAATGGCTGCACCTAAGTCTATCAATGCATGAGAAAAATGTGTGTTGCCAATCTTGCATGGAATTGTGAAGGAACCGGGGTCCTCACATTTTATAGGGAGTTGAGGCTTCATGATAGCACTCACAGATGAGGGTAATTGTACCCTTGCATTAGGCCTAAATTTTCTTTTATTTGTACAACAATCTTTCAAAAATTTGGCATACTTAGGAAAGTTCTTAACTACATCCATCAAGGGTACATTAACATGAATCTTGTGGAAGAAATCATATACCTCTTGATCAAATTGTCCCTTTACTTGCTTAGGGACCACTTGTGCTTGTGGAAAAGGAAGCTTCTTCATAATCTCTTGACTTTGCTTTCCTTCTTCCTTCCTTGAACTCTCCTTTCTTGTTTCACTTTGCTCGGCCTCTCCCTCTTTTTCCTTACTAAACAACTCGGCCATAGTCCCCTTTTCCACCTTAGATGGTGGTTGCTCACATATGATCTCCTCAATGTTTTCATCCTCATCATCTCTACAAAAAGATGCATCATTAGGAGCAAAAGAAGAACTAGAAACATTAACATCAATTGAAGAATTTAAAGAGGGCTTCTCGGCCTTCCCTTGTCTTTTGTCTTCTTGTACTCTTTCTCCCAACTCCTTGCCACTCCTCAATGTGATAGCATTAAGATTAGCTTTAGGATTAGCAACGGTGTTGGATGGTAATGTAGAGGCTTGAGCATTGGCTGCACTTAATTGGTTAGCAAGCATATTCATTTGAGAAGTAAGGGCATCAATTTTAGAGTTCATGTTCTCACACTTGTTACCCATACTCTCTACCTTGTTCCCTAAGCCATCATACATGTTTTTATACAAAGAGTTCATTTCAATCAACTGCTTACGTAACACATTCACATCATTAGAAGAGTTCGAATTAGAAGAACTCTCAATTGGAACAAGCCTCCTATCACTATAAGAATTAGAAGAAGGTGTAAGAGAATTACCACTTGGATTGTAGCTTTGAGAAGAGCTACCTTGAGACAAATGAGGTGGAGGGTCACGGCCAAAGGTGTTTTGATAGGATCCTCTTTGTTGATTGTCTTGTAAAGCCACATTTGGATTTGAATAGGAGAAATTAGGATGGTCTCTCCATGAAGGGTTGTAAGTATTAGAATAAGCTCCTTGCCCTTGCCTCCCACCATAGGATTGTTTTCCATTGTAGATAGCATTTACTTGTTCAAACTTAATAGGACAATTGCTTTCTACATGCATAGGTGAGTCACAAAAAGTACAAGAATAAGGGACAAGTGCTTGAGAAGTACTTACATTGCTCACTTGAGATATTTGTGGAGCCAACATTCTCCCAATCTTGGCAGCTAGCAAGTCCACATATGAATCATTAAGAACTGAGGAACCTACCATATTCACATTTCTCTTTTCCCTTGTAGAGTATTGAGCACCACTTGAAGCCATCTTGTCAATTAGTTCCCAAGCCTTTAAGGAAGTGAGGTCAATCAAGCATCCACCACTAGCGGCATCAATGTTAACTTTGTCTCTTGGAATCAAGCCCTCATAGAAATATTGGACTAAATTCTCACTAGAAATTTGATGGTGTGGGCATTTAGCCAAAAGGCCTTGGAATCTAGTCCAATACTCATAGAGACTCTCATCCTCTCCTTGTTGGACCCCATAGATTTGCTTTCTCAAATTGGTGACCTTGGAATTTGGAAAGAATTTATCTAAGAAGAGTCTTCTTAGCTCAGCCCATGTGCTCACTTTCACATAAGAAGGGTAGTTGAAATACCATTCCTTTGCTAAACCTTCAAGAGAAAATACAAAAGCCTTAGCTTGAACATCATCAACATTTACATGCATAGGCTTCATAGTATCACAAACCAATAGGAAAGTATGCAAAAACCTATGACAATCCTCTCCTGGTAACCCATGAAATTTAGGCAATGCATTAATCAAGGAGGATTTAATTTCAAATTGAACATTAGTAGGAGGAACATATAAGCCATAAGGATTATCATGCCAATTAGGTTGAGTTAATTGCCTAATGCTCCTCTCCTCTCTAGGGTTATGCAAGCCTTCAAATTCATTATTAACATGGCCATCATCATGCAAATTCTCATTCCCATTCCCATGGCCCTCATTATGCACATGCTCATGTCCTAAGATACCTTCCATTGTTGAATTACAAACCAAATGAGAATCAAGAATAGGTTGTGATCTTCTCAATCTAGAAATAGTCCTTTCAATTTCTGGATCTAATTCAACAAAAGAGGTATGTTTTCTTCGGGTCATGCACTAATCAAGCTCAAGAAAATTAAGAACAAAGAACAAGCTAAACTAAAATGCAAATCAACATGAAACAATTCAAAACACACAAAAGCAAGAGAAATAATTTTTTTTTATTTTTTTTATTAAACTCAATAGCAACAAAATGAAAAAAAATAACACCAAACAAGTAGAAAGAGAGTTAGAAATGCTCAATCAAGAAGCTTTGGCAATTCTGGAATTCGCACAGTAGGCTCTCTGGAGACAGTGAACTTGTGAATTTTCTATCAGCAAATCCACATGATAAATTCCCCTGAAACTTTTATGAGAAACACAAGAGATATACAGGAAAATTATATAAAATTTTAGATTAAAAATCCTGCCCAATCGTTCCCAGAATTTTTCACAAGTTGGTCCTCAAGTCTGGAGAAACAGGATTTCGTCCAGAAGACCTTCAGAGCTTCTAACAAACTTTCAAATAGGAAAATGGAAAAATTGAAGAAAATCCTAAACACAAGAAACAAAGATAAGACAGCGATAAGAAAAATGAAACTGGAATCAATCAATTTGAACGCACAAAGAGGAAGATATGCTAACTCAAAATTGAAACAGGGTTTTGGAAATCCTCTGTAATGGCTCCCTGGACCTTGTTAGATTGTAAAATTTCCACAGGACACTTCCCACGTCCAAAATTGACCAAACCAATTTTAAAGTGAAGCTAGGATATAGAGCTTTCAATGAAATAAATTTCAAGTTCAAATTCCCTCAGACTCATTCCCAGTTAATTTTTCAATTTCAGACAGAGACACTAGAAACAGAGTATTTTCAGCTCTACACCAAACCAACGAAAATTGCATTAATTTTTTTTTCTTTTTCAAAACAGAATAAAAACACTCAAAAACACACAAAAAACACTAAACAAAACACAAATTTTTATAATTTTTCAAAAAAATTTTCAGGAACACTAAAAATAAATTAAGTACTAAACAACCTTAGAATTAAACTTAAACCATTCCCCGGCAACGGCGCCAAAATTTTGATAGGAAATTAGTCGCTTATCCTCAAAATTACACTAAAGCTAACCCTAATGCAATATAGGGCCAACCCTAGGTCATCTCCCAAGGAATGGTTTTAAGTCTAATTGAAAGTTATCTAGTGAAATAAATCAACCAAAGTTTGTAGGAATTTAGTTATCTAGCTAATTATCTAAACTAATTACCTAATATGCAAGTAATTAAAATGCTAGTGAAAGTGAGTGAAATGAACTTCCCTTTTTACAATAATGGAACCCTAGAGATTAGTTGATTTTGGACTCATTATCTTCTCATGATTAGGCTAAGTTTAGCTTCCCTTTCCTCTTGACTAAAGCTGTCATGACTTAAGAAAATTATCCTAAGCCAATTAACCTAATTAGCTAACCTCCCTAGGTCTTAGATTAAAGTCCCTAGTTCAATTAACCAATTGGTGAAGACATTAGCCAAGTGATTCACTCAAAATCCTCTCTCAACAGCCATGGTCAAACACATAAATTGAGCAACCACAAGATTATGTCAAGCTACTCAACAACACAAGCATTAACACCACAAGATTATGCAATATTAACACAAGAAATTCACTAATTGAAAAACACAAGATTATGTGCCAAACAAAGAGTGGCAAAATTCAGTCATGGCTGTCCAAGGAAGAAATTAAATGAAACAATCCTCTCTCTTTACATCAACATCAAATTCAAATTAGAATTTATAAGCTAAGATGATTAGACCCTAGATTAAGGAATCTAACCATCTAGTAAAAAGAGAAGAGGATAGGAAACAAAAGAACTTAGCCAATTTGAAGCTCAAGACTCATCCTCCATCTTCATCTCTCTAGGATTCCACAAAGAAACTTAGCCAATCTTCATCTTCAAGAACCCTAGTGATTGCTTGTGAAGGCCAAACTCCATAGCTCTTGAATGATGGAAATGAGCTTCAATCCTTGTGAAAATGGAAGGGATGGAACGAAAATGAAGAGAGGAGAAGAATGGTATGAGTTTTGTGGAGGTTTGGTGGCTGAAAATGGAGGTTAGGGTGCTGGAAAATGAAGAACAAAAGAGAGAAAATGAAGAACACTATGAACAAGAGAGAGAGAATGTGGAAGATGAATGAGATATGTGTTGGATCCCATTTGGGCTTAAAATGGCGTGCTCCTTGGTGTCTCCCATCAGCTGAAGCTTAATTAAAATAAGGAAAAAGAAATTAAAATGTAAATGGGAGCCTTGTCACACTTGCAAGGTGGCAACTTCCTATTGGTTTGTAGATGATTCCAATGTGTGCCTAATTTCCCATGTGTCATCCACATCATTTTAGCTGATCTAATCCCTCAAAATAATCATAATTCACGTGCAAACCATCAGCCATTGTCCTCAAGGAGTGTTGACCTCAATTGCCCAATTGATGCACAAGTCACATGCCACCTATGTCACATAAATCACATAATTCAATTAAATAGCATATGATATAATAAAATCTAATTCATGTCCAGAATTAAATTCATAATTAGAAGGGAGAATTTATTAAATTAACCAATTTCAGGCTGCACAAAATTATATAAAAAATTTTCACACAAAGGCAAACCAAAAACTAGGACAAACTAAGACACTTAAGAAAGTGTTGACTTTTTTATTTAATTACTCCCAAACTAAAATAATTTTAAAAATATAATTTCACCATTCATCAACTGGACATAAAATGCACTTTGTCAATTTTTCTTGTACATTTTCTCAAAAGTTCATTTTTTGGACCAAAATGCCCCTAGTGCACTGATATTAGAAACTTAGGCAAAGTTCCAAATCTAATGCAATGTGTGCACTTGAAGGTGATAAATCATTAATAAAATGGTCCTAATTGACAAATAAAAGTGGGTAACAAATGTGTTCTATCATAAGGTACCTTAGACAGGCTAAGGATCGTTAAGGGAGATTTATAAATGTTATACTACCTTAGAGTGTTGAAGTGGTCAATACTCGGGAAGGTAGACAAAAGTAAAGGCATGATCTTGGTGGGAGTTCACCAATGAGAAGGTGTGGATTTTTGATATTTTATGGCACACTGTCAGTACTCAGTGTTGTCTTACGTATTGTGGGCTCAGTGCACTAAAGTGGTTAGTGTATTGAGTGTTCGACACCTCTCATGGGGGAGGGAATCTGACATATGAAGTGTGAGGTTGAGTGCCTAGGCCAAGGTAGCCCTCACATGGAGAGTAAGTCGGGCTGGCTCTGGAAGAGAGTTAGCTTTGACTGCTCAGGATTCACGTCGAAGGGACATAGGCGGTTCGGTGGATTAGATCATGCCTCAGATTATGTTTTGTGCCTGTGGAGGTACAAGTGGGTATAAGGTTTACCTGTGATTAAAGAGTGCCAGGGGCATTCTGTTGGTCATGAAAGGCCATACCGGCCTAGGTTATGCATTCATGCATTTAAATGGCTAAATTATATACTATGTTGAATTTATTATTCGTTTATTTGATTATAGCTTACTTTGTAATAATCAATGTAGATTTCGTTGTTACTGAGACTGTGGTTGTCTCACCCCTTTCTTTTCAATATTCTAGGTTCAGGCGAAGGATCCAGTGGTGGACGGGAAAAGGAGCAAAGCTAAGGGTTTGCTTGTGATTTGTAAAGAACTGCAACCCCTTTCTTTTGAGCAAATATATTATAATATATTTAAGATTAGGGTGCCAGTAGGATATGATTATGTATGTGTGTGTGAATATGTGTGGATTGTGTGCTTGTGTATGAATTTTTGTCTGTTTGTAGACTTGTGGCTAGGAAACTTGGTTATGGTGTGTGGTTTTGATGAATTTACTTAGTAGACCAAGTTTTATTACAAGCAGATATTTATTTTGATATATGTGATTTTATAAGCAAATGCAAAGTGGTTGCATTGCAAATGATGTGCTATGGGCAAAACATACACCTTGGATAAAGAGAGTGGGTGCGTGGGCCCCACAAGGAGCTCTGAGCCAAGTGAAAATATTTATCATATGTATTTATATAAATACATGGTATTTAGATTGATTTGTGACCACTCTTATATGATTTGTGCATTTTGGGGGTTTATGGTCCATTTTGGGAAATGGCACCCGAGTGGTCAAATTTTGATGTATGGGGGTTTTCCATCATTTGAATGTTCTATTAGGTGTTTTTAGTCTTATTTGACGTGTCCAAAGTATTCCCACAGGTTTGTGACCATTAGGTGAGATTTGGACAATTTTGAAAATGGTTTTTACCAAAAAGCTGCACTTTTGCATCCGGGTGTCCAAATCTTAATCCGACCGTTGGATTTCCCTAAAATTTGGGTCACAAGTAAATCTTTTATAAGCTTCGTGTGGGATTTTGAATCATGTCGATCGAATATCGGATGGAGAAACGGCGCACTCCAGAATTTGGTCTGGAGGTGCTATCATGACAGCATTTCATTGCTGTCATGACAGCTACAGTAGTTATATTGTAACCTGCATAAAATTCAATCCGTCTATTGGATCTTTTCAAAATTTGGTATGCTAATAGTATTCTTAAAAATTGACATGTGGGCTTTGGAATCACTCCGATCGAAGGTCGGATGATGAAATGGTACACTCCAGAAGTTGGTCCGGAAGTGCCAATTTATAACATGTTCAATTTTTAATCCGACCGTTGGATCTTTTTGAAATTTGGTACACTTATAGTACCATTGAATGTGACGTGTGAGCTTTAAATTTCTTCGATCAAAGATCAGAAGACAGAACGGTGCTGCCCTGAAGTTGACTCAGGAGAGCTGTCATGACAGCAATTTAATGCTGTCATGACAGCATATTTTTACCCTTCTTTTCGTCTAACTTGCTTCCGTGCGCTATAGGTAGAACCTATAAAATTTTTTAAAGGCTTTAAATGTTTCATTTGCAATTGTGTATTTGCTTAATGATTTAAATGGTTTGTTTCCTAAGTTGGTTTTAGGATTAATTCCTTAACACACTTATTTTATTTGAATTGTGTGATTTTTGGATAACACTCGGGGCAAGTGTTACAATTTATATCACTAATTTCCTCCATATTTCTTTAGACATGCCAATCTATTCACTTGAGATATAATTTCCTCTGGGGCTTCGAGTCGAACACTAAAGTGCATTATTTCCAACCATTCGATGTGAATTTTCTAACCTCCATCTCTATCTAACAATTTATCAATACTCATACAATTTTCAAGAATTTAAATAGTTCACAACAAGTTTCACAAGCCAATTTCAACACAATGACAAGTTCAATTCACAAAATAACAGCATCAAAGTCAATTATGTCTCCCAAGACATTTATTGAATTTATGAAAATTCAAAATCAAGCAACTCCCTCTGCAAACATTTCCTCAAACATGTTATATAGGCACAAATTTTTAAATCATAGGTCTAGTCTCTTTTATCCAAATCTCATTCCAGCCATTCTCTCTCTCTCTCTCTCTCTCTCTCTCTCTCTCTCTCTCTCTCTCTCTCTCGTGATAAAAAAGAAACAAACAAAACAAACATTCCAGCTGTTCTCTCTAACATCAACCAATTTAGAAGAAGACAATTTAAGTCAAAAACTCTGTCCCATTCACATCATTCTGTTTTCAATACAAATTTTCGGCTTTAATTCAACTTCTCCTTGCCTACACAGCTACAGACAGCAGTAGTAGAAGAGAAAAACTTACAACTTAAACTTATAAATCACACACTCATGCGCAAAGGATTATCAAGAAGAAGAGCTTAAAGCTTCACACCTCAAACAGCAACGACAGGGGCAGAGAAGGAGAAGGAAATGTCTAACACCAACGCTGTAACACAAACAGAGAATGGAAAATAAACATAATTAATCTGAAGCCAAATCGGGAAAGAATCAACAGCAAAAATTGAAAACAAACTCACGATTTGGAACCTAACAGCAGCAAGTCCTCGGCAAGCATGAAGGGAAGACGAAGAAGGCACCAACTTGACAGAGTAGTGGTGGACGAAATAACTACAGATACTAGCGCTGGTGATCTCTGTGAACGGAGAAGAAAATGGCGACAAGACAGGGGAAAACGGAGGTAGATTGAAGAATCAGTTAAACCTCTCTGTCTTGACAAATTCTGGAGAAGTTGGAGAAGATGGAGATAAGGAAGACAACGACAGTAAATTCTCAGAGTCACTAGCGACGCTAAGGAGGATGAAGGCAGAGATTAATGGATAGAGGGTGAGAGTTTTAGGCGGTGCTCTCTCTCTAACTCAATCTGGAGCTCAAAATGACCGAGAAAGGTGAGAAAAATCTGCAGAACATGTGTGGCATTTCTGATCACTCTTTTCTTTAAATTTCTGAATTTTAATTTTATTTTATTATTATTTTTTTAGGGACAGAGTGGTAATTTCGTAACACAGTGGCAAAAATTAAAAAAATTCTTCCTTAGTACATAATGAGGGCTCGAACACAAGACCTTATAATAAGCACTAATAGAAATTTCATTGAACCACCAATGCATGTGATTATTCTTTTCTCAACAATTAATAAAAATATAATAAATTAATCTTATTATTTGGTCTAGCTTTATTATTATAATATGAGCCATTACAATTCTTGTTTACAATTCATTAAAAACTGAACGAGATTTCCAATAAGCAAGAGCTTAACTATCAAGGTCTCAAAGGAGCACGAAGGCTTGCAGAGAGAGCAGAACAAGAACCAAGAGAATAAGGGACAGATGGGAATGAATAGTTGTTCCAAATGATGGCCTTGTGCTCCACACGCTCGTCATGCTCATCATAGGGCTGCTACTGAAAATCCTCGAGTTGTAAATAAGCAAAAGATCGTTAATAAAATATTAAAATTTAGAAAAGGTCACTCTTTCCATTTTTTACAGTGAATTAACTGGAATATTTATATTTTTTAAATAAATATAATATGGAATAATTTTTAACTTTTGTCAACAAAAATTGGTTGAGTCAGTGTCAGGATTTTGTTAGTGAGGATCACACCATAGAAGAATGTTAGGTCCCTGAATTATTGTAGTTTAACCCACCTAATATTTTTCTTATTAAAAAAAAATATTTATTTTCTATGAGTTACAGATGACCCAGAAAAATTAGATAGTAGAAGAAATTTTTTTCCTCGAGATAAATATTGATTACTTTTTAAAATATTTTAAATTAAAGAAATTTATTTTTAAAATTATTATAGAAAAAATAACTAAAATAAGAATTTTTTTTTCAAAAATAGAAAAAAAAAAACTACAATCAATATCTTAATTGAACAAATTAGATCGAAACAAGTTGCGCTAACTACTGCTTTATGACTCATTTTCACTAATACAAGTGTAAAGCTTCTAGACCAAAAAGGCACCACGAGTGCAATACTCATATGTGCGTAGTCTCAAAGATCATTGTGTCTTAGTGATATAGGATGTATTGATCCAAGTAAGGCCTCTCAATGCTTCTTCTAGGCAAACCTGGGTCATTTTAGGATCTTCAACCTATAAATCTTTAAGCATAGTGACATGAACTCACACACAGAGATTGTCAGTCGAATTCTTTCTAATGCACAAGTTCCTCAAAGAGGCAAGTGCAAAGCATATTTTAATCTTAGTATGATAGAGATAAGATATTAAAGAATCAAGCTTTTAGGATAGAGAAAGAGTTTTGGAGAGATATAATTGGATAACATACAGGTTTTTGTTTCTCAAATGAGTTTAGCCTTACTACATGACTGAAACTTCCTTATATAGACACAATGAGGAGGATTAGGACAAGACTTCCATGGTTACAAAAAGATGGATGATTATCACATGGGCACTTACTTTAAACATACTTTACTTAAACTAAAAGTGAAGATGGATGACATGACTAAAAGCTAACTACTTTGTTCAAAAGTCAAAAGTAGCTTTTGACAAAGTTTACAATAAGATGAAATTAATAAAATAAGATGTGATTTAACTTAAAGTAGATTATTTCATACTCTTTTGAATACACTCTTGGTCATATGATATGTTGATCTAACTTTTTTCTTCTTTTTGGCGCCATTTAGTGGCAAAGATATCAAAGAGAATCTTATCTTCATCAATGTCATGATCCATATCTTGAGTGGGTTCAGGGGTTGAATTGTCCTTTAGTTCTAGAAATAGTTGGTAGGTCTGTGATTCTATCTAATGTGGGTCTTAGTTGTTTGGTGGGAAAACAAGAGGAGTGGATGAAGATGCGTCGTTATAGGATTTCATTCAGGTGGAATATCTTATTTATACAGTAAAACTTATAAGCCATTCAGGAAATAATATTGTGTTGAAAATTATGCCCTAGGACCAATCATTATACTATGCACATTATTATTTAATGAATTTTTCTTTTGTCATCATATTAATTGCTTGTTCACTATGATAACTATATCCTTGGACAAACTATAGTGATTATCCTAAAAGTTCCTGATCGGTCATCCATAAGGGATCATAGATGAAACAAGACAAGTATGACTTTGATTAATTATAAAGATACAAATCAAAATCATAGACACTTAAAAGAGTATAAGGTGCTGGACCGACCCACTATGAGAAAGTTACATAGTATAAATCATAAGCTTATCTCATATATAACTATATCACTAAGCCCTTTGACTTGAGATCATCATGGATTCCTACATGATGACCACTAAACTTTGACCTAGTCAAAAGTCACCTTTGACTGGGTGATCATAAAAGCTATGATTGAATTTAGTGATATTCATTCAAAAGAATATAAGTGGTCAAGATGAAATTTATCTCTCACATTAAGTGAGAGATTACTGGGTGCCTCGATGAGTAAGATGGAGAAAATATATGGCTATATTATAATGGAAAAGGTTTTTCCATTGCTACAGTCAGTACACTTAGAGATAAAAAAAGTAATGGTCAGGTAAAGGAGAATGACAATTCCATGTCTCACACTTGACCGAAATATTGCGTGACAAAAGGCATGTGATACGGTTGCATGATAGGTTACATAAGATCATTAATTTTCATGTGAATTGGGTAGTTGTAATGTCTTGCTAGAAGCCACTTGTGACTTGTGGGCTAATAGCATAATTAGCCTACTGCCAACTTTCTATGGACCTACAGGGTCACACACAAGAACAGCTCAACTTGAGATATAATGTCCAAGTTCATTGAATCTGGAATATGTCTAGATTCAATAAATGTAATATAGGGTAAATAAATATTATATATATATATTTGAATATTTATTTGATAAATATTTATATATATCTTTATATGAAATATAAAATTCAAAATGTAATTATATATATATTCATATGTGTGTGTGTATCTGATATATATATATATATATATGTCTGATATATATATATATATATGTTTGTATATGTATATGATATATAAAATTAAATATATATAATATATGTATACATATTTGTGTATATATAATATAATATGTATATGTGATATATATATATATATATTATATATTATATATTATATATTGTATTGTATTGTGTTAGTTTTAAATTTAATTTGATATGATAGATTAAATTTAATAACTAACATGATATGAAAGAATATCATATCAGTTTTATAGTTTGAATTTATAAGCTAAGTTTAAATTAGATATGATATTATAGATTTTATCTATGAGATAAATTTAATTTAAATTTTGGTTGGCTCTTCAAGAAGAAGGCAAAAACCCTAATCTATATATAATATATATAAGAGGATATGCAAGAGAGAGAGAGATATATATATATATATATAAAAGTTTTGATGGCTAAACGCTTTGAGAGCCACGAAACACCCTAAAGAAAAAAAAACTAATGTTTAAAGAAGAACGGACGCTGGGAGCGCTAGCACGTTGTTCGAATTAGAGAGCTATTCGTGTGGATACCGATAGAGGAAGCAGATCTACATTATCAGCTCTTAAGATTCAAAACTCTTGAAGAGAACATGCATCAAGTTTGAAGAATCAAAAGGTAACTCTTCTATTCACCTTGACTTAAATGAGTTCGTTTAGTCTATATTAGGATAAGGATTTTAAAATTTTAATCTTCCACTGCGCCTCCCTATCCAACAACACATTTAGCATCGATTTTGGACACCTTAGAATAGTTTAACTATGAAAAAGGAATATGATTGAGTTTAGTGATATTCATGTAGAGGAATATGAGTGGTCAAGATAAAATTCGTCCCTCAAATTAAGTAAGAGATATTATTAGGCCCCTTGATGAGCAAGACTGAGAAAATGTATGGCTATATTATAATGAAAAAGGTTTTTTTATTACTACAATCATTCCACTCAGAGATCGAGAAAGTAATGGTTAGGTAAAGGAGAATGACAATTCCATGTCTCACACTTGACCGAAATATTACATGACAAAGAAATATGATACAGTTGCATGATAGGTTACATCAGATCATCGATCTCCATATGAATTAGGTAGTTGTAATGTCTTGCTAGAATCCACTTGTGACTTATAGGCTAATAGAGTAATTAGCCTATTGCTAACTTCATATGGGCCTACAGGGTTGTACACAAGAATAGCTTAACTCGAGCTATAATGTTCAAGTTCATTGAATCTGAAATATGTCTAGATTCAATAAATATAATATAGGGTGAATGAATTATATATATATATAAATATTTATTTGATAAAAATTTATATATTTATATGAAATATAAAATTCAAAATATAATTATATATATATTTCAAAAAATATATATATTCATATGTGTGTGTATTTGATATATAAAATTAAATATTATATATATATATATATGTATATATATATATATATATTCGTCTGTGTATATATAATATAATATAATATGTATATGTGATATATATTATATGATATGATATGATATTATATTATATTGTGTTAGCTTTAAATTTAATTTTATATGATAGATTAAATTTAATAACTAACATGATATGAGAGAATATCATGACAGTTTTATAATTTAAATTTATAAGATAAATTTGAATTAGATATGATATCATGGGTTAAATTTATGAGATAAATTTAATTAAATTTTTGTGGGCTTTTTAAGTGGAAGACAAAAACACTGATCTATATACTATATATAGATAGGGATGTCCTTTATGAAGAAGGTGAGCATTAGAAAAGTTTTGATGGCAAAAACACTCTGAGAGCCACAAAATACCCTATAGAAAGAAAAACTAACATTTAAAGAAGAACAAAAGTTGGGAGTGCTAGCAAGCTGTTCGAGTTAGAGAGCTGTTCATGTAGATACCGGTAGAGGGAGCAGATCTATGTTGTCAACTCCTAAGATCCAAACTCTTGAAGAGAACACGTGTTAAGTTTGAAGAATTAAAAAGTAACTCTTCTACCTACCTTAACTTAAATGAATTTGTTCGGTCCATATCAGGATAGGGACTTTAAAATTGTTAATCTTCTGCTGTGCCTCCCTATCCAACATATTGGACAATTGGAGCTGGGTCACTTGGAAGGATGGACCGGTGAGGGATCGGAACGAGAGACGTACACTTAAGATTAGGAGTTGAAACTAGATAATTATTCATTTCACATAAAAATTCTTTTAATTCAATGAAAATGGAATTCTCATGTGATATCTAGTTGGTGGCGGTCTTCCATAGGCATGCTTGGTTGGCTATATAGAGCTTTCCTTTATTGTCAAGGTGATAAGGATGATAAACAACAAAGAAGGAATAAGCTCTTTGTTCCTGTAGTGGGACTTTCCATAGCATTTTTTTTCCTACTACTCGAGAAAGTTCCTTACGTCATCTAAAAATAGGTGCGAACTATTCAAGGAGTCTCAAAAAGGTTTGAGTCTTCATGAGCTAATGAAACATCTCTAATGGAGGAAGGGCTATGACACAAATATAAAGAAAGGATAAAGACCAAATGTACCATATAAGTTCATCTAGAATATGTCTTCTAATAAAAGGAATAACAAGGAGGATGTGAAGCCAGTAGAACAAACTTCTTCTAGCTAATTTTTAGACTTCAGAGACATAGATTAGATTATGGCTAGGTGGGAAAACTAAGTTGCTAGGCATGATGTTTAAAATGAAGAAAGGTTGATTTGTGAAGGGATGATGAGATTGATTTTCTTTTAAGGTCTGGTGATGTAATCTGCAATGGTATTATGGTCTCCCTTAGTATTAAAATATGAATTTATGATGGGCAAACTAATCTTTTTATTGAAGGAGTTAAGCTTTTGGGAGGATCTTCTCGTTTTGATCCAAGATCCTTAGAAATGACATGTTGTCCATTTCTATCACAAAGTGGTAGGGGCTGAGATGAAAACTAAATTTTTCAATGTCATGTTTCACAACCAGGACTTCTTTATAGGCTATCTAATAATGCTTTTTAGAAGGTTTAATTTGAATTCTCCACTAGCATGACCATAATAGTATCTTTTTCCATCTACTTCTTCAATAAGTAAAACTCCCTAATAATCATCACTTGCATCAATCTGTAGAATACATTGTCCTTTATTAGTAATCCTTAATAGAGGAGGATGCTAGCAAATTTGCTTTAGGTGTTGGATAGCTTTTATCTGACTAAGACCCTATAATGGTGGATTTTTCCTCAAGAGTTTGGATAACTGGCTAGTGTAATGAGATACATGAGGAATAAAATCTTTGATATTATTAACTATACCCAAAAACTATTGAACTTGAGTCTTGAATAAGTTTTCATCAAGAAAATTTAGTAATTCCTTAGCAATGTGAGAACTGGGTTGGTATTGTCTATCTTATATGAGCATTCCTACAAACTTTATTTAGGTTGTGTTGATACAACCTTTTCGAGTTGAGGGCATAATCCCATATTATTGAATAATTTTATAAAACTAGGTAAGAAGGTCTTTATGCTCTTGTTCTATTTTTGAAAACAAAAGGATATCATCAATATAGATTAGTGCACTATTGATGATAGGCTTGAAGATCTTGATCATGACCTGATAAGGCATTTTTAAGCCTAAAGGGCATAAGTGTCCATTGATGCTGGGTATTTGGAATGCAAAAAGGCCATCTTGTGTATATCTATAGGATCTATTCCAAGCTGCTAAAATCATACTTTAAGATCAAATTTTAAAAATATCTTTGCCCGCTTTAGATGTACTAATTGGGTGGTGATCTTAGGCGAAGGGAACTTATCATCTTGAAGAAAAACATTAAGAGGTTTATAATCAATTACCAACTTTTTTTTCCTCTTTGTTTTTCAAATATTTTCTCCATATAAAAAACTTGACAAGCCCAATATGACTTTATAGGCTTAATAAGGCCTTGTTTAAGTAAAGTTGTACATTCTTTTCTAGCAAAAGCAAGGTCTTCTAAATTCATCCCAAGATGGGATGCTTTTGTTGAATTGACATCTTCATTCTTTTTGAAGGGGAGTTTAATAAAGAACCTTTTGTTTTTTCATAAAGGAAATGGATGTTAAAATTGATCTTGACTTTCACAGTAAAATTCAAGGAGTTGATCTCTAATAAGTTCATAACTTGAGGGAGCCTTTTAAATCTCCATAATACTTAGGATACCAATGTATTCTTTAAAAATTGTTTGAACTGAATACCCCTAGATAGTATCTTCAGATCTTTAGTTTCTCGGTACACATCAAAGCCAACAAAAATATCTTTGGCAGGGAGATGGCTTCCAAGAACTTTTGTCTAGTATGCAAAACTAGGAAAAAATATTATACCAATTTTTCTTTTAGTAATAAGATCTATTTTGAAGAGTTTATCATCAGCTATAACAAAATACTCATTATGGGAGACCTATTCTTCTCGTGGGAGAATATAGGATTTTATGATAGTTCTACAGGATATGTTGTCTATGAAAGCAATGATAAAGACAAGGACATCATATTTGGAGGAGAGGATCTAGATGTTTACATTAGGTTGTGGGACTTGTGATGAATAAGATGGCTGATTAAGGTTTATAAGGCTTGTTGGTACTGGGTTTAAAGGGGATGGAGTAAGGCTTTAGATTGGGCTGGGCCTAATAGTAGAGAGAGGTGGATATGGGTGAGGATATTGCCCATCATTTGAGCTATGACTAGAAATAGGAATGAGATAATGAGTATCTCCATCCTTGTGTGATGGAGAACCTTAAGAGATTGTAATAG